AGCCACACAAAGCAACTACTGACCTGATGCCCTGCTGGAACTGGTTTCAGTTGCCCTTAAATGCGACCCAGCATCCAATCAAATTAGAAAAATGCTATTTCGAATTAGTTTTTGGGTTTAGATGTGTTCTTTTGAATTAGCTTATTTCAAATTAACTAATTCGAAATAAGTTAATTTGAAATAGCACTGTAGTGTAGACATACCCTAAGTGGCTACGGGTCAAGAAAATCAGAATGTTGGTGTACTATCCCCAGACCAATGGGCTGGTCGAAAGGTTCGACCGGACCTTGAAGACTATGTTATGTAAGTTTGTCCGAGAGGAGCCCTGCAATTGGAATAGGTTACTACCAGCACTCACGTTCGCGATCCGTGAAGTGCCCCAAGCATCAGTTGGGTATTCCCCCTGCGAGATGTTATACAGCCGTTGGCCCAGCGGCCTATTAGATCTAGTATGGGAGGAATGGGAGGGGAAAGATTCCCCACCCTGGGGCTCCATTCAATATGTAGTCAGACTAAGGCAGAGGCTGCGAGCCTTAGGGGAGTGGGCCAGGGAGAACTTGTAAAAAGCCCAGGAGACCCAGGCCCAGCAGTACAACCGGGCAGCTGAAGTGAGGGAGTTTGAGCCTGGGGAGCAAGTCCTGGTGTTACTCCCCATGGAAGAATCTAAGTTGCTGGCCTGGTGGCGGGGGCCCTACAAGGTGGTAAGGAAAGTTGGAGAGGTGGACTATGAGGTCCAAATAGACGGGAAAAGGAAGGCCACCCAGATCTACCATATAAACCTATTGAAAAAGTGGGAGCCTAGGGAAGCGCTCCTCATTGACACCCAACCTACGGACATGGGCTACGTCTACACTGGCCCCTTTTCCGGAAGGGGCATGTAAATTTCACCAGTCGTCGTAGGGAAATCCGCAGGGGATTTAAATATCCCCCGCGGCATTTAAATAAAAATGTCCGCCGCTTTTTTCCGGCTTTTAAAAAAGCCGGAAAAGAGCGTCTACACTGGCCCCGATCCTCCGGAAAAAGTGCACTTTTTCAAAGTAGGAATAAGACCCTCCGGAAAAGGGCACTTTTTCCGGAGGATCGGGGCCAGTGTAGACGCTCTTTTCCGGCTTTTTTAAAAGCCGGAAAAAAGCGGCGGACATTTTTATTTAAATGCCGCGGGGGATATTTAAATCCCCTGCGGATTTCCCTACGACGACTGGTGAAATTTACATGCCCCTTCCGGAAAAGGGGCCAGTGTAGACGTAGCCCATGTCCGTAGGTTGGGTGTCAATGAGGAGCGCTTCCCTAGGCTCCCACTTTTTCAATAGGTTTATATGGTAGATCTGGGTGGCCTTCCTTTTCCGCCCGTGGGGAAAGGAGGAAGCAAAGGTTGATGAAGTATGGATGGGGGAAGAACTGGACCCCGAACAGTGGTGCGAACTACAGGAACTACTCATCAGGTACCAACAGGGGCTAACCAGCCAATCAGGACAGACGGACCTAACGTATCATGAGATAACCACGGAACCAGGCCAAAAGGTACGAGAAGCCCTATGCCCCCTTCCCCAAAAGCTGTGGGAAACAGAGGGTATGTCTACACTACAGCACTAATTCGAACTTAGTTAGTTAGTTAATTTGAACTAAGCTAATTCGAACTAACGCATCCAGACTAAAAAACTAGTTCGAATTAGCGTTTTGCTAATTCGAACTAGCATGTCCACATAGAGTGGACCCTGAACCGGGGTTAAGGATGGCCGGAAGCAGTGCCGGCAGGGCATCAGAGGAGGACTTAGAGTGTGGAGCTGCTGTCTCAGGCTAGCCGTTAGTTAGTTAATTTGAACTAAGCTAATTCGAACTAACGCATCCAGACTAAAAAACTAGTTCGAATTAGCGTTTTGCTAATTCGAACTAGCATGTCCACATAGAGTGGACCCTGAACCGGGGTTAAGGATGGCCGGAAGCAGTGCCGGCAGGGCATCAGAGGAGGACTTAGAGTGTGGAGCTGCTGTCTCAGGCTAGCCGAGGGCTGTGCTTAAAGG